TGCAGGATGCCTTGCAATCATGCAAATAACAGCAAGAATATACAGGATCATAAAAGAAGCCAGGATGTGAGTGGTACAGGTTTTGAGAGCTTTGAGCCAGCTTCTCAGTCAGCTTCAGAGGGCAAAATATACAGTGAATAAAATACCAGAAAAAAAATGAGTAACTAAAAAGAGCATTTACAAAATATAGTCATAACAATGCACACTGGTATTTGTGAGTTCTTTAAGTTTGTGGTCAACTGTTCTGTCTGTTATCAGCATATTTGGGACCTCTAAGACCAAGTTTTTAGAAAAACTTTGCAGGAGCTTCTTATCTATGTTTTCAGCCTTTCCAAAACCCTAGCTGACCTGACCACATTCAAGTACCCTTGAAGAAATGAGGAAGAAGAAGAAAAAAAAAAAAAAAAAAAAAAAAAAAAAAAAAAAAAGGAAATCAATGGAACTCTTCTGCCCCCTACCGGTATGCAACGGGATCTTTAGAGGAATGACTTTAAAGGGGTGGTGATATATGTGTATCCCAGTCAGCTTTAAGTGTTATCCTGAAACAACCTAGAGTCATCTGAGAAGAAAGTCTCAACTGAAGAAATCGCCTAGATGCAATTAGCCTGTGGGCATACTTCTGGAAGATTAATAACTGATGCAGGAGGGCCCAGCCCATGGAAGGTACATCCTTAGGCAAGTGGTGCTGGTCTTTATAGGAAAGCTGGGTAATTGGGATAGAGTTCAGTTCAACTGGGCTGGAGTTCAGTTCCCAGCATCCACATTAGTCTCATAATAGCAACTCACAATAGCCTTTACTCCAGGTTCAGGGGAACCTGATGCCGCTAGTCTCCATGTAACCTATACTGGTTTACAGACACATAATTTACAAAAATAAAAAGTAATCTATTAACAAATTTATAATAATAAATACTCAAAAAGCAAAAATGATTTCTATGACATCTTAATGCATTCTTGGAGCCTTGTAATCCTGACTAATCGTATCATGTGATGTAGGGAACAGAATGAAAAACAAAGAGCCTTAAGATTTGAAGGAATATATGATGAAAAAGGACTCATCACAGTGGCTTCTAAGAATCATGCAGCATGCCTGCCCCACGTGATACTTAGAGTCCTATTACTATAGACGCCTGTGTGGAACAGGACATGACTGTGCCAGTGCAAATCTCTGACACGCAAACAAACCCTGCACAGGTGTTAATTTTAGTGACTGGGCATGCTAAGCAAAGGAAATGTCTCTCAGGCTCTGGAGGAGGAGAAGGCAGGGAAGCTCTCAGGGGTGGAGCCAGTGCTGGGCCATTCTCCTATGGTAGGCTACAACTCACTGCTCTTGGGATAAACACCTAGGGCCCAAGAGATACCTACAAAGAGGGATAAGTAAGTGGTCCAGATTTGCTGTCTGGACTCTGGGAATCTCCTTGCAATTGCCTTTTCCCCTAACCTATTAAGTATCTTTAGATTTCTAACAAGCAATAAGTACACAGCTATGCTCAAATGAAGCTTGCATCAGAGGATTGGAGAAGAAGCAGGAAATGACAGAAGATGTTCATTATTTCTTGAACTTGCTGTGTTTTGTGCAGTTCTGATCCGTAGGGTCCAGCACTTAACTCTAGTCACATTGATCTTTAACCGTGGTATATTATTATGCTGAGTCATTGAGTAACCAGACAAGACTATTCCCTGTTTAGATTGTATTTATGCAGTGGCCATTTTTTTGCTATCAAAGCACACAAACTATAGGCACATTAAATTTTGTAGTGGCAAATAAGTCTTAGTTGTTTAAAATGTTTAGTCAAAACAATCCTAATATATACACAGATGAATGCATGAATGTTTTCCACAAAATGTACTGAGCATTATGATATCAGGTAATGGTTCAGATGCACATTGAGTAGGTGAACCTTAGAGATGTTAGCTCTGAATGTGATGAAGGGCTTACACTCGTGACTAGGTAGGAATAGAGATCTACTTTAAACCAATGCTTCCATCACTGGGCATTATAAAAACAAGTGATGATTTTAGACTACAGATTGCTATAGGCAGCATCAGATAGTACATCTTGGTTTTGCAGGTATGCCTCAAAAATTTTATTCTGACATCAAGAAAGTTACATTTGTTAAAAGTAGCAATTATTTTTGTCTTAATGTTGGCAATTTTACGAGTGCCCCAATGTTGTCTGTTGCTGCAATATAGATTTATCTGATTTGTGTAGCTACTGTCCTCAAATCCTAACTTGAGAATGGATTCATAATGGTGCTATTTCTTTAGGTAACTTATCAGAAAGAGAATTAAACTTCAAAGTAACAGTCTCTGGCACACAGCCAAGTATATCTTAGCTGGTGGTGTTCAGGTCCAATTGTGTGCAGCCCCAGCCAGAATAAGCCTGTGTCATATCCACCCTGGGTAGGTATGGCTGTCATCACTGAAGCCTCACCCTAAAGAGCCACACCCTGGCACTAGCCAATCTGCTCAAGCAAGCAGAGAGGGCAGGAGCCAGGGCAGGGCATATAAAGTAGAGCAGGATCAGTTGCTGCTTACATTTGCTTTTGATACTGTTGTGTTGACTTGCAACCGCAGAAACAGACACCATGGTGCACCTGACTGATGCTGAGAAGGCTCTGGTCACCGGCCTGTGGGGAAAGGTGAAACCTGAGGAAATTGGTGGTGAGGCCCTGGGAAGGTTAGTATTCAGGTTACAAGACAACTCACAAGTGGAAGTTGGGTGCATGGAGATGGAGGTCTGCTGCCCACAGGCAATAACTTTCAGCATCCTCTGGCTGTTCTCTCCTTCTTAGGCTGCTGGCTGTCTACCCTTGGACCCAGAGGTTCTTTGACAGCTTTGGAGACCTTTCCTCTGCCTCTGCTATCATGGGTAATGCCAAGGTGAAGGCCCATGGCAAGAAGGTGATTGACTCCTTTAGTGAAGGCCTGAAACACCTGGACAACCTCAAGGGCACCTTTGCTAGCCTGAGTGAGCTCCACTGTGACAAACTGCATGTGGATCCTGAGAACTTCAAGGTGAGTCTGATGGGTCTGCCCATGGTTTCCTTCCTCTAGTTTCTGGGCTTACCTTCCTATCAGAAGGAAATGGGAAGAGATTCTAGGGAGCAGTTTAGATGGAAGGTATCTGCTTGTTCCCCCATGGAGTGCTGACAAGAGTTTGGTTATTTTACTCTCCACTCACAATCATCATGTCCTCTCACTTCATCCTTCTATGTTGTGATTTCCTTTTTCTCTAGTAAACTTTAATTTTCAGTTGTAGTTTGAAAAACGTATTTTTTCTTCTTCATCTACTTTTTTTGTTTCTTTATTTTGTTTTCTTTCAATTATTTCCTGGTAATTTGCTTTGAGGACAAGGAAGATAAGTGATTCCCTGCTTCTTTGCACAGCTCTAAAGAATAACAGATAATTGGCTTTCTGGCTAGAACATAGGACAGAATGTTTTTTGCATATAAATTCTGCTTGACATAGAAGAATTCTTCTCAAAATTTCCCAGTAAGATTCAGCTGTCATTTTCCCTGTGTTTTAAGGTTAGAATCATAAGTAGCATTTGAAATGAGCCTGAAGTATCTGATGTTTTTCTCTACTATCTACTCCATCTTCCCACAGCTCCTGGGCAATATGATCGTGATTGTGATGGCCCACCACCTGGGCAAGGACTTCACCCCCGCTGCACAGTCTGCCTATCAGAAGGTGGTGTCTGGTGTGGCCACTGCCCTGGCTCACAAGTACCACTAAACCCATGTTCCTTTTTTTTTTGTTTATGCGCAAAGCTTATTTGTCTTCAGAGAAAAACTGTCAATTGCTGAGGAAATGATGAAGGCCTTTGGCCTTCTACCTTCTCTCTATTAAAAAATATGTATTTTCATTGCAATGGTGTGTTTTAATTGTGTTTCTTTGAAGGATTCATGTGAAGCATTTGATATATAAAGTAACTGGGATATGCTGGAAGGAGGAAAGGGAGGGTGAAAGTCATGTCATTCTATTTTAATTAAAATAATTAAAAAATTAAGTACAAAAAGAATTAGGCATTTAGAAAAAGTTTATTCAGTTTAACTTTGAGCTAATATACTGATATCAGGTGCTTCCTGATAGATGATGAGATGGTAAGCATCTACTACGTGGGAAATCTCCTCTGATGCCCATTCATTATCATTCAGAAAAGAATTCAAGTAAGGGTTTAATTTACAGCATAGGTTTTCACTATGTTTTATAGTAAAATTTTTTTTCCTGGTTTTTCTCATAGATGTCACTTGTTTTTCCACATACTTCCTTGAACCTCAGAGACTTCACTCTAATAGTTTCTCCTGCTTGAAGTTCCTACTACTCTTAAAGATTTTCTTTCCTTCGTGCTTTTCTACACACCTTTTTCATCCTCTCCTGGCCTCTTTTATATAGATAACCCCATTAGTTACAGAGATATACTGGAAACAGGAAAAGCAGGAGCTCTTCAGCCCTTGTCCCCTTCTCTACCATTAGCAATGATCGTGAATCTTCACATACTCACAGCTTGCACAGGAGATCAGGAGATATTAATATGGGGTAAATCCAGGACTAAGAAGAAACATTTTATTCCTTAATAGTCATTGCTGATTTAGGGATCTTTCATGGGTTCACAGCACACAGAATTACATTCTCTTCAAATGTGCCTTTCTTGAATATCCATGAAGGGGTTGAAGATTGACATCTCTCTAAACTTGCTTCTGTTTTTTTTTTTTGTTTTTGTTTTTGTTTTTTGTTTTTTGTTTTTCTGGATATGTAACTGTCGATGCTACTGTTGGCAATACCACATACTTGCATTTCCCCTGTCTATAACCTTCTGGATATGCTAAATTCTGGAAACAAAATATGAGTTTCAAGTGTTCCTTATCCTTTATTCTAATACAAGTCTGGCAATACTGTTAGACTAATGTATATGATCCATGATGAATAATTAGAGACAAATTATGAGATTACAGAATGAAGCCACCAGAATGAAATCAAATTTAACTGATGCCTGAAAGTATAAAATAAATCAAAACATTAAGATGGAAAAGTGCAAAATATCTAGACTAAAGTGTAGAGCAAAGTTCGTTAAGATTGTCTGTGAGCCAGGTTTGTAGTGAATGCCTGTGATCTCAGCACTCAAGAAGCTGAGTCATGATCATGAGTCTGATGCCCACCTAGGGCACATAGTGAGGGCTTGTCTTAGTAGACACACAACAAAAACACTACATCTTTTACATCTACCAAGGATAAGAAAACAAAAAGGAACGAGTCAAACAAGTTCAGAATAATAAAGTTTCTGCATAGCATAGAAAATAATCAAGAAAATGAAAATCAATTTATAAAATGGGAGAAAATATCTGTGAGCTAGTTCCAATAACAGATTAATAGGCAAAGTATATAAGGGACTCACATAAATCACTAGAAAGAACATGGAAAATGGAATGAGACAGATATTCTTTCAAAAGAAGTCACACAAAATTCCAACACATATAGGCAAAGAAACTCAATATCAGGGAAAGGCAAGTCAAAAAACACCGAGATATCACTTTATTCTGTTAGAATAACCGTTGTCAAAGAGGCAAAGGACATGTGTTGGAGCATATGTGAATGCATATATATACATACATACATATATATATATACATATATCATAAAGACATACTAGCAGTTAGAAGCTCTAAAGTTGGCATCCTTGCAAGGTGTGTTTGTTGATAAGACATTCCTCAGTCTTTGCTCATAGCACATGCACTGACTGTTCATAGGCATGGTGAGACATTTAGGTTTTGCATGAGTTTTACTGGAGGTCAGTAGCATGCACACAGACTATCACAATCTAGTTAACTGCACAAAAATGACCTGGGAAAGTAGAATGTCTTTAGTTTAGATTTAAGTGTCTTAGGGATTACCCCAGTTAAAAAGTGGCTCTAAACAAAACAAAAACAAACAAAACAAAACTAGCCATCAAACTCCAAATTGTTCCTTCACATGTGGCAGACCATTAGTTCCTCTCCTCACAGTGATCAATCTACATCAGCTCAATGAGGATAGGAACCAGCTGAGTGAGCCATCCATCTACATTAGGTCAGTGAGGATAGGGACCAGCTGAACACTAAGTGGTCAAAATGTGTTCCTGTTAAGAGAGTAAAGCTGCTTTATAAAATGTGGGCCTCTATGATCCGATATCTGCTAATATGAAAGCCATATTCACCTGTTCTGGAAGTGATGTCTTTTTGTTTCATGTGGAACTGAAGATTTTCACAACCTACCCACTAATTGACACAAGTGAACTTTCTGATTTACCAAAAACATAACAAACAAACAACAAACCTTCACGCAGCATTTGGGCTCACTGCCCACTTTTTTCAGAGTTTAGAATACTAACAAATACAGATTGTTAAGAGCCAGTACATGTCTTTTAAGAGCTGTACTTAAAGATTTAACCGTTTTATAAGTTATCTTCTTTTGTTTTCTGTCAATTATTAGTTCTTAGTGCTTAGGCTGATTTTATCAGAATCTCTCTCTCTCTCTCTCTCTCTCTCTCTCTCTCTCTCTCTCTCTCTCTCTCTCCATCTCATATCTATGTACATTTCAAAAACCAAGCACCTAGGCAAGATGTATTTTTAATTGATATAATTATAGTGACTTCACAGCTAGCTTTCCTTATCAGCAAAGACAGACCTGTCCTCAATGTGGTGATGTGTTGATATGAAAGCACTACTCACTGCTGCTTCATCCTGACAGAGCTTGTTCATTCAGTACCTAGAGTGCTTGAGGGAATAAAGGGGAGAAAGCTAAAACAGAACAGCCAGCCACATAGAATGAGGGTGGGGAGAAATGTTGATAGCTTTGAGAATCAAATGATTGGACCACAAATGGAAATGAAGAGTAAGCCACATCATTTAATAATTTAAGGGCACTCCTTTTAGGCAAACTTTTATATAAAATATTTTAGATTAAGGAGAAGTTTGTTACGGGTACAAACTGCATTTGGTATCTTTCTTTAGTTTTCTCTCACATTACCCTATGTTGTTTTTATTCTACAAGTTCTCAAAACTTCCCTTCTTGTTTTTGCCCTTTATAAGCATCACTGGGATTTTTAAATGAAACAGTAAGAAAAGGAAATGCCCAGTAAACATTACTGACCACTAGATTAATAAACATTACTGGAGATCTATTTAGCTAGTGGTAAAATGTTAAGGTCCTGATCTGGCAAAGCTCACAGTATCCAGCTGATTTTTCACTCCCATATTGACATTATTCAGGAGAGAAAAGGGAAGATGAATGAAGAGCAGATAAATCATAGGAATATAGAAAGTTCTCTTTTATCTGAAAGCCAAGTACAATTTGTTCTTTAGGTGGCTATGAGTCTCACACTCTGGCAGCCACGAAACAGTATTTGTCACATCATTATTCACATTAATACGGAACACAGACACTTAGATATACACAGCACCTACACAGATCAGAGCCAGAATTAGTCTAAATTATTTTTACCTTGCAAATTAGTTTCATAAGCTTATCTTATTTTCTAGGCCTCTTTAGTATTTTCTGGTGTTTTGAGTGATATTAAAATGAATATACCTATTAAGTTCTTATAATTAAATGAAAAAGAGGATTCACATATGCATATCCTGGGACTAGAATTGAATCTTTCATAACTAATCTAGTCAAGGTGGGCTGACTGAGAGCACACGGGGTTTCTGGCTATTTCAAGGGAAATGTCTCTCTGGGTCTTGATGCTGTTAATCACCAGGTTCGTCAGAGTGGATTGTGTTCACACTAGCTATGATAACATAATAGAGGGGTGCAGGATGCCTTGCAATCATGCAAATAACAGCAAGAATATACAGGATCATAAAAGAAGCCAGGATGTGAGTGGTACAGGTTTTGAGAGCTTTGA